AAGTGGGGGAGCCGGCGTGTGGGGCTGAGGCAGCGGGGCACTGGCCGCTGAACCCCTACACGCAGAACCACCTCCGGAGAGGCAGGTGTCAGGGTGTGGAAGGTGTCGGGGTGCGGCAGGTGGTGGGGTGCAGCACGTGGTGAGGTGCAGCAGGTCTCGGGGTCATCACGTGGTGAGGTGCAGCAGGAGTCGGGGTGCAGCACGTGATGAGGTGCAGCAGGTCTGGGGTGCAGCAGGTCTCGGGGTCAGCACGTGGTGAGGTGCAGCAGATCTGGGGGTGCAGCACGTGATGAGGTGCAGGTCCCGGGGTGCAGCACGTGGTGAGGTGCAGCAGGTCTCAGGGTGCAGCACGTGATGAGGTGCAGGTCTCGGGGTCATCACGTGATGAGGTGCAGCAGGTCTGGGGTGCAGCAGGTCTCGGGGTGCAGCACGTGGTGAGGTGCAGCAGGTCTCGGGGTGCAGCACGTGCTGAGGTGCAGCAGGTCTCAGGGTACGCAGGTTGCGGGGTGCAGCACGTGGTGAGGTGCAGCAGGTCTCAGGGTGCAGCACGTGATGAGGTGCAGCAGATCTGGGGGTGCAGCACGTGGTGAGGTGCAGCAGGTCTCAGGGTGCGCAGGTTGCGGGGTGCGGCGACAGCAGGAATGTTCTGAATGAACCTAGGGCCCGCCCCGGATGCGGAGCTCTCCCGCTCTGATTGGCCACACAGCGTCTCTCGCTCAGCCTTTCGACTGGGTGAGCTCGGGAAGACTGACTTCAAAGTCAGCGAATGAGTGAGCAGGACGCTGACCGCGACGGGGAGGGCTGGAGGCGCAGCCAATAGCAGGAGGAGGTTGCAGAAGTCGCCAATGGGGACGGGCGACGGGGGCGGGATGACCCAAGCGGCTTCATTGTTGTGAAGAGTCTTAAAGGGGCCGCATCACCCGGCCGGCCGAGGATGGAGTTGGGGTGCGGCGGGGGTCCCGGGGCGACGGAGCGACCATCCAGGATCCCGGGCGCGGGCGGAGGCAGAGCGGCCACCTGACGGGCTCGAGGCGCTGCTGGGCCTTGGAGCAGATGCCCGGGTGGAGACGGAGGCGACGAACGGAGGAGGCCGACCCCAAACACGCCCTCCTCGCCTCACCCCTGTCCCGCGAGCCCTGGGGTGCAGCCCCACGACCCCCTGCAACCCCGTGACCTCCCAACGCCGTGCTCCCGCCGCCCCCGCGGGGCGCACCCCATCTCCCAGGCCTCGCGCAGCCCATTCCCGCCCCTGGGGCCCCTGCCTTACACCCTACAAACAGTCCGCCCCCCAGGACACCCCATGTCCGCCTGGCCCCTTCAGCCATCGCACGCCTGGCCCTGGGTGCCCACACAGACGCGCCTGCTGCTTTTAGGGGCCCTGCCAGGACACCCCGGGACTAACTTATCATTATTATTATTATTTGTAATACTGTTTACATCGTCGGGAGGGATACACAGCCATGTGGGGCTCTGATCACGGTGAGCTGATCAGGTGTGGAGGAAGGCGGGGGGGACCCACGTTTCAGTCTTATTCTCCTGGAGGGAGAGGGGACCACTCGTTGCTGTCAAAACCACATCCACACCCAGGGATGTGGGACGGGCGTGTGAGGACGCCTTAGAGACCCCGACGTGTCCCCAGGGTGCTACCTGAGTGGTTGGGGCAGTCGTTTTGGTAGCTCCGGAGTTGAGATCTGTGTGAGGTCTGTGTGTTGACCAAGTCCACCTCCGTGCATCCACAGACCCGGCGCGTGCTGCAAAGCTTGGCCTCCAGGAGAGCGAGCCAACCTGCTCTGCTCGCCCTCCTCCTGTTGTAGCCACTTGGGGAATGAACCAGCAGGTGGAAGATCTTTGTCTCTCCTCTCTGTAACATCTGCCTTTCCAATAAAATTAGCAGCCCTGGAAACACCATGTGGTTGTGCACCTGGGAGGCCAGAGCCCAAGCCATCACCTGCTACCCCCCAGGGCGTGCAGGAGCAGGGCCCCAGGGCCAGGACTCAACCAGGCACGCTGATGCGGCTGGGATGTGGGCATCTTAGGCAGGTAGACCAATTGGCACACACTAGTTGGATATTCTTTAAAACAAAAACATGAGCCTGGCGCGATAGCGTAGTGGTTAAATTCCTCGCCCTGCATGTGCCAGGATCCCATATGGGCGCTGGTTCTATTCCCGGCTGCTCCACTTCCCATCCAGCTCCCTGCCTGTGGCCTGGGAAAGCAGTGGAGGATGGCCCAAAGCCTTGGGACCCTGCACCTGTGTGGGAGACCCAGAGGAGGTTCCTGGCTGCTGGCTTTGGATTGGCTCAGCTCTGGTCATTGCAGCTGCTTGGGGGAGTGAACCAGCAGATCTTAAAAAAAAAAAAAAAAAAAAAAACAGAAGCATAAGAGGATTGCCAGGCTGCCCAGCGTGTGTAAGGAGCTCAGACGTGGGACCCTGACGTAGCCATGACCCACGATGTAGCCAGGAGTCAGGGGCGTGTTCTGGGTCTCTCGTGTGCGTGCAGAGGGGCAAGCACTTGGACCATCCTCCACAGCTTTTGCAGGTTCATTAGCAGGGAGCTGGATGGGATGCGATGCAGCCGGGACTTGAACCTGCGCTGGGTAGGGAATGCAGGTGCTCCATGACCCTGCTGTGCCACACCCCTTCACCTCTCTCCCTCCAAAATTCATCCATTTAATTTCCATCCCCATCCGGATAGAACAGGTGATTGGTGGGTGGGGGTCCCTGCCAGGCGCCCCAGCTGGGCCTTGCTGGAGGGGATACAGCCTCATCCCGTGCCCACCAGCCTGCAGACTTGAGCTGAGCGGCCTGGGTCCTGAGGTGGCCAGTCTGTGGAGGTGCAGCACCTCTCCCGTGCGGCCCTCGGTGGCGGCTGCATCCGTGCGTCCTCTGCTGCTGCGCCCACGGGGTGGCGCCGTCTCCGCACCGCAAGCGCCCCGCCGCCCCGTTGAAGCCGGAGCCGCGAGCTGCTGCTGCGGAAGTCGGTGCAGGACCCCGGGGGCGCAGCGCCTAGCAGACTACACCCACCTGGTGCACCGGGAGCAGGGGACCCTTCCACCCACCCACTCGCCTGGCCACAGACTCCATCAGCACGTGGCCGTGCTGGGCTCACAGGCCCGACCCTGGGACTGGCTCACGCTATCAGACACCAGTAGGGTTGGAGAAAGGGGCTCTCCAGAGTGGGCCGAGCAGGGAGTGAAGGGTGCACAGCTGAGAAGCAGGTGTAGGCATGATCCACACTCAAGAGGAGGGCTTGAGCAAAGGGTGGTTGCCAGTGTAGATGAAGTTAGGGGGAAGGACCCATGGGCAGGATCGGGGCTTGGGTGTGGAAGGGTGTTGATGGCCTGTGGGAAGCACAAGTGTGTGTGTGTGTGGTCAAGTGGCATGGGGAAGAGGAGCTAAGGGGCTGGGAGCGTTTTGAGAGGGACAAACAGATGAGGGACAGGTGCATGGTGTGAGATGGTGAGAGGATTCAGTGAAATAAACAGATGGGGTGACCGAGTGAGTGGATCATGATGGAGCTGGTGGCATGGGGGCTGAGCGGAGGGAGGGGGGAGAAAGGACAGGGAAATGGACAGATGAGTAGGTGGGAGGGATGGGAAGAAGGAGGAAGGGAGAAGGACAGAGGACAGGATGGATGGGTGGGTGGATGGGTGGGTGGATGGATGGGTGGGTGGATGGGTGAGTGGAGACAGCCTCTCTCCCAGGTCCAGCCTCAGCTTCAGTTTTCCCTCCCTTCTCCGGTGCAGGCACTCTAGACCCACAACTGGCCTGGGGTGCATCGAGGACACCAACAGTTGGCACCTGGCCGAGCAGCAGGTGAAGCAGTTGCTATCAGTCTGGTGCGATGGCTTAGTGGCTGAATCCTTGACTTGCAAGCATCATGATCCCATATGGACACAGGTTCAAGTCCCGACTGTTCCACTTCCCATCCCAGGCTTGTGGCCTGGGAAAGCAGTGGAGGACGGCCCAAATCCCTGGGACCCTGCACCCGTGTAGGAGACCTGGAAGGAGCTCCTGGCTGCTGGCCTCAGATCAGCTCAGCTCAGGTTGTTGCAGCCCCTTGGGCTCTGCAAATCGGCTTTTCCGATAAAAATAAATGAAGGAAGGAAAGAAGACAGGAAGGTGTGCATATTGCAGTTCCGGGGCACGTGCGCCCGGCCCTGTGCTGGCAGCTGTGAGGGGAACAGGGTGAGCCTGGCATGCCGGCTCCGCATGTCTTGGCTGTACCCTCAGTGGGCGCCTTCTGTATACCAGGGCACTGTGGTCTTCAGGGACCCGATGGGTGTGTGCTGTGCTGAGCTCCCCCGTTGCAAAGTCCAGGTGCAGGGCTGCTGGCTGCGGCTGGAGCACCTGGGACAAGCCAGACGTGCGCCCACTGTAATAAGGCAACTCCCTCCAGCGGCCGCAGCCTGCAGCACTCCACCGCAGGCCCATCACCTGCACCCCCACACACACACTGACTGTGTATGACCCGTGACATGCCCAGGGGAGGACAGTGCGGCCTGCTTACCGTCTCCTTGCCTCACGGGCCCTCCCTTGACCTTGAATCTCCTGTGTTGCCCGAATCCTCCTGCCTTGTCACCCCCACCCAGCTCAACCCTCACCGACTTCTCCTGTGCCCCCGCCCCCTTGTACATGAGGGGAAAAGACTAAAGTGTGTTATAACTTTTTAAAAATTATTGAAACATATATTGCCTTCTGTCTTCTTTTTCCTCTTTAAAAAAAAAAGATTTATTTATTTTTATTGCAAAGTCAAATACAGAGAGAGGAAGAGACAGAGAGGAAGATCTTCTGTCTGATGATTCACTCCCCAAGCGAGCGCAACGGCCGGAGCTGAGTCGATCTGAAACTAGGAGCCAGGAGCTCTTCCGGGTCTCCCATGCAGGTGCAGGGTCCCAAGGCTTTGGGCCGTCCTCCACTGCTTTCCCAGGCCACAGGCAGGGAGCTGGATGGGAAGTGGAGCTGCAAGGATTAGAACTGGTGCCCATATGGGATCCCGGTGCGTTCAAGGCGAGGACTTCAGCTGCTAGGCCACTGCGCTAGGCCCGGAACCCAGCATCTTTCAACATTACACACAGAAGGTGGAGTTCCATGTGACTGGAGGGGGTGCCCGGGCTCCCAGGGGCGTGTCCCCCCAGCAGGTGTGTGGAACGGAGGTGGCTGGTGGGAAGTTGGGTGGAGACTAGCATCTCGGACTCGGGGTTCAAGGTCAGCTGCCACAGGGCTGGGGCAGACCCAGGCAGGTTAACCGGGTGATGCCCCCCACCCCACAGTCACAGGTCACCATGGCAACACAAGCGGGCACCTGCAGAGCACCCAGCTTCGACCTGCCCCCCCACACTAGGGGGGCTCCGTGCTATCTCCCCAATGCTGCAGCTGCAGCCCAGTCCCCACCGACGGCCAGGAAAGGACTTGAGACGGCGCGTGGGGGAGCGCGGACAGGGTAGTGTTTATTCCGAAGGGCCACCCGGGGTTTCGGACACCGATGGCTTCCAGGCACTGGTCTCCCCCGCGGGGTTCCCCACGCAGCCTCGTCCAGCCCACACCCCCTCCTCCAGGGCTAGGAGACGCTGGGGGGCAGGCGCGCGGCCGCTGTCTTCTCCACCACGAAGCCGTAGTTGTACTGGTGGGGTGGGAAGGAAGATGGAGAGTCAGCTGTTGGGGGAAGGGTTGGCCCAGGAACTTGGGGCACCAAGGGACTCCCAGCTTTGGAGGAGAACGGGGGTGGCCTGACGGGGGTGGCGGGGAACAGCGTGTCCTCATGTAGGCCCATTCCCCCCCACCCCAGCACCCACCTCCTCTTCGATGTCGGCCAGCGACTTGATGGTCAGGTCTGCAAAGGCCGACAGCACCTGGCGGAGAGCATGGGGCTCAGCCCGGGCCCTCCCAGCCTCCTCATCCCGGGGTGGAGGGCCTGTACCCCACCCAAGTCTTGGTCCCACCTGCCGGCCAGCCCATCCCCCTGCTCCAGGAGACGCCCCCTTCTCCCTCAGGCGCACCACAGCCCCCAGCTCCCCCCTGCCCGCCTCGCTGCTCGCCCCCCCATCCCATCGCCTTGGTTCCCACCCCAGGCTCCCTCTCGCCACGTGGGACTCACCAGGGGGCCACAGCCCTTGCCTTCAAACCGGGGGTGCAGGGTGAAAGGCACCCCATCCATAGCTGGGGAGAAAAAAAAGGTGGGGAGGCAGGGGTTGGGCGATCTGAGTCCCGCACGCACACAAGCTTTCAGTGGCCGCACCCGGTGCACCCGCCTGCGGCACCTGGATGGGGCTCCCGGCTCTGCCGCTTGGGAAAGCGCACCCCCTTCTCAGAGCCGGGGGCCACCTGAGCCCCTCGCCCACGCCACTCCTCACCGGAGATGCCGTACAGGCTGGAGGCCTCGTAGATGGAGTCGTTCCTGCGCAGGGTGGACGCGCGCGAGCCCAGCCGCGACAGGGCGCGCTCAGGGCCCTTGCTGGAGGAGTGGAAGTGGGGGGACAGGTCACCCCGGTGAAGCGCAGCCCACTCCCCTCGGGCCACGCCCCCTCGCAGCCCCCCAGGACTCACCTGGGCTGGCTGGGCGTGTCCAGCGAGAGGCCCTGCAGGTCCCGGCTGAGACCCCGGGGCTTGGGCACCGGCTTGGGCACCTTGACTTTCCGGCACCAAATAGCAAAGCCGCCCATATCCCTGCAGCGGGAGTGAGGAAGGACTGAGACGTGGCCGGCCAGGGGGAGGGAGGGACTGAGGGGCACTGGGCCTGGGGGGCTGCGAGCCGGTGCTGGCCCCCCTCCCCTGCCCCCAGGGAGGACGCGCGTCGGGCTGGGGAGGGGTCACCCTACCCGACCCGCAGGTAGCCAGGCACCGTCTTGGTCTTCCCACTCAGCCGCACGTCCACCACAGCCGTGTCCGCGGCCCCCAGTGGCACCAGCTTCACGCACATGCGCTTCTTCTTGGAAACGGAGGCCTCTGGGGGTGCGGGGCAGCACGGGAAGGGGGCAGGGGGTAAGAGAGGGAAGCGGGGTGGGAAGCGGGCAGGTGGGCAGGTGGGCACGCAGACCAGCGGTCACAGCACAGAAGGGACGGGCAGAGGAGGGGATCACAGCAGGTGGGGTCACGAAGCAGCGCCCCTCCCACCCCATGGGGACAGGGCTGACTGTGGGCACACACACTTCCTGCCCCCAGGAAGGGTACATGCCGTGGAAACGCCCACCCCCACCCCCCATCCCCAGCCTTGAATCGCAGCTAAGTCAGGCCCGGGCATGATTTCAACAAACTTTAAATACGTTGACACCATCTGGCAGGCAAAGCCAAAACTATGCCGTGGCCAGCTCCTAGCCCTGCACCCTCGGCCACTCGGGAGAGCCACACGGTGGAATGACGGGCAGGGAGCGATGGAGGGGAGCAAGGGCAGGGAGGATGGCACCCGGAGCGGGGAGTGGATGCCTGGGAGAAGACGTGAGACACAAAGGAGCTGCGACAGGGAAGGCAGAGATGGAAAAAAAAAAAGGCGGGTGCTCCAGGCGGAAGATGCAGCGAGGGCAGAGGCCTGGAAACGGAAGAGAGAACTGGGACGGGGTGCTGCTGGGGGCCCCCCACCTCAGCTGCCAGAGGGACCAGGAAGGGGGGCTCTGGGGCTACCGTGACCCAGTGTCCCGGAGAGGGGCAGGGGAGCGCAGGGCAGGCGCAGAGGAAGGGGAGGGTTGCACAGGGCAGGGCATTAGAGGGGAGGGTTGGGGCAGGGAAGGAGAGGGGAGAGCAGAGCAGGGAGGGGAGGGCAGAGCAGGGCAGGGAAGGGGAGGGGAGGGTTGGGGCAGGGCCTGGCAGGTGCAGGACAGATGAGAGTGTAGGGCAGCGCAGGTGCAGGGGAGGGGCAGATGTAGGGCGGAGCAGGTGAAGGGGCCTGGCTGAACAGATGAGGGCCGGGCAGGTGAAGGGGGACAGGCAGGTGGAGGGCCGGGCAGGTGCAGGTGCAGGGCCGGGCAGGTGGAGGGCCGGGCAGGTGCAGGTGCAGGGCCGGGCAGGTGGAGGGCCGGGCAGGTGGAGGCCGGGCAGGTGGCGGGCCGGGCAGGTGGCGGGCAGGGCAGGTGCAGGGCAGGGCAGGTGCAGGGGGACGGGCAGGTGCAGGGCCGGGCAGGTGCAGGGCAGGGCAGGTGGAGGGACGGGCAGGTGCAGGGACTGGCAGGTGGAGGGCAGGGCAGGTGCAGGGCAGGGCAGGTGCAGGGCAGGGCAGGTGCAGGGGGACAGGCAGGTGCAGGGCAGGGCAGGTGGCGGGCCGGGCAGGTGCAGGGCAGGGCAGGTGCAGGGCAGGGCAGGTGGAGGGACGGGCAGGTGCAGGGCCGGGCAGGTGCAGGGCAGGGCAGGTGCAGGGGGACGGGCAGGTGCAGGGCCGGGCAGGTGCAGGGCAGGGCAGGTGGAAGGCCGGGCAGGTGCAGGGGGACGGGCAGTTTTGCAGGGCGGAGCTCCCGGGCCCAGCCCCGCCCCACCCCGCCCCCCAAGGCTCACTAGAATCCTGGGGGTCGCTGACCGGGGAGAAGCCCGGGGGCACGGAGCTCTTGTCCACCACGATCTGAATGTCCACCACCACGTTGTCCTGTGGGTTCTGCGGAGAGACGGGACACCCCGGCGAGGCTCGGCGGCCGCACCCCCACACGGCCCAGACCCGCGGTGACCCCCCAACGCCGAGCGCCGCTCACCTCCAAGCTGCCCAGGGCGCAGAGGCACAGGAAGTAGCCCGACTTCTGCGCGAAGCTCTTGCCGAAGCTGGCGGGGGTGCCCTCCACGGTGCAGGAGATCTGGGGGCAGCAGACGGGTCAGCCGGGCCGCGGGCCCCCCAGCCCCGAGCGCCCCGACACCGCGTGCAGCCCCCCGCGCACGCCCCGCTCACCGCGCTGAAGCCCCGCGGCGGCGGCGCCGAGGCCGACGACCAGGCCAGGCCGGCCAGCGGCGCCGCGTCGGGCGCAGGCCCCGGCTCCATCCTCCCGGCCCTCGGAGGAAGGCGGGACGCCGCCTCCCCCGCAGCCGGACTACAACTCCCAGAAGGCGCCGCGACGACGACGGACGCCTCCCCGCGTCGCTCCAGAGCGCATGCCCGGAGCGACGACTGACCAATCGCGTGCAGACGTTGAGCCACGTCAGCTTCAGTCGCTCACTGAGCGACGTTTGCGGAAGAAGGTCTGGCAATGTATCACCACCGAGCCACTTCCGCCAGTAAGGGAAGCATCCGGACTACACGGGGGGACTACATTACCCAGAACCCCTTGCAGCACCAGAGCAGGTACCTGGGGAACTAACTCCCCATTCTTGTTATGGAAGTGACCCCCAAAGAAAGCCAGGGCCCGGTGACCCCCAAAGAAAGCCAGGGCCCAGTGACCCCCAAAGAAAGCCAGGGCCCGGCGCGACGGTTCGGCGGGGAAATCCTCGTCCTGCAAGCGCCGGATTCCCATGTCGGTGAAGGTTCAAGTCCCGGCTGCCCCACTTTCCATCCAGCTCCCTGCTGGAAGATCCTTCTCTCCTTCTCTCTGTAAATTTGCCTTTCCATAAGTAAATAAATCTTAAAAAAAAAAAAAAAAGACGAGCACTGCAATATTCCACCAGTGGCTTTCTCTTGTTTTAATATTTGTTTATTTTTTATTGCAAAGTCACTTGAGGAGGACAGACAGAGAGGAAGATCTAGCAACTGGCTCACTCCCCAAGTGAGCGCAACAGCCACGGCTGAGCCGATCCAAAGCCAGGAGCCAGGAGCTTCTTCCAGGTTTCCCACACCGCTGCAGGGTCCCCAGGCTTTGGGCCGTCCTCCACTGCTTTCCCAGGCCACAGGCAGGGAGCTGGATGGGAAGTGGAACAGCCGGGATTAGAACCTGTGCCCCTATGGGATCCTGGCATGTGCAAGGCGAGGAATTAGCCACTAGGCTACAGCGCTGGGCCCAAGATCCATGCTTAATCCAGCGTGAGGGAAAGGAGTCAAGTGCATACAATGTCGGCCCCTTTCTCAAAATCTATTCTGAGAAAAACAGCTGTCTGGCGGATGTGGCGCGTGTGAGTTCAGGCGCAGGTCGCTGCAGCGAGGCCCACGGGTTCATGGTCAGGAAACAGCTGTGGTGAGAATCTGCGCCGGGGAGCCGTGGGGTGGCACATGGCCCGACCACAGCGTCTGCTGCTCTGCAGTGACGTGCCAACTCCGCTCTCACACCCTGCCCGCAGAACCTCGCTGATCCTGCCTCGTTTTTAAAGATTTATTTGCTTTTCCTGATCAACTATGTAAACATCATAAAAAAGTAAAGTTAAAAAAAGATTTATTTGTTTTTATTGGAAAGGCAGATTAGATTTACATGGAGAAGGAAAGACAAAGATTTGCACTCCCCAAGTGACCGCAACGGCCAGAGCTGAGCCGATTCCCAAGCCAGGAACCAGGAGCCTCTTCGTCTGGGTCTCCCGTGCGGGTGCAGGGTCCCCAGGCTGTGGGCCGTCCTCGGCTGCTTTCCCAGGCCACAGGCAGGGAGCTGGATGGGAAGTGGAGCAGCCGGGATTAGAACCAGTGCTTTGGTATGGGATCCTAGCGCCTTTAAGGCGAGTATTTGAGTCGCTATACCACCACGCCAGGCCTGCCTTGCCTCTCATTTGTAATAATACTTTGTGGTGAATGTAACATTGTTTTAGCAGTCAAGTGGATATAACAAAAGACACACGCAGACATACAGAGACACACACCATGCTGGGTCCCTCCCTTAGCCCGGGGCCTCTGGGCGCGTGAGAACCGGACCAAATGCCAGAAAGGTCACGATGGGGCAGGAAGCTGGACGTTAGCGCACGTGTGTCTGAGGGGTCCAGGAATCCCCACCAGAGACCCTCACACCCCCAAGTCCTGCCGTACCCCCACTAACAGCGGCTGCTCCCAGCCTCCGATTGCAGGAATATTGTCTGGCTACCCACGCGGCGACTTCCACGGCCCGCGTCCGCAGGTGTCCTGAGGCCCGATCCTGCCCTCCCTGCCACTGAACTTGGTTCCCACAGGGCATGCTCCCCTCAATTCTTTGTTCATGTACCAAGCCCGCCATTCTCACCTGTCTGGCGCCTCGTTCTGAGCTTTGCCATCTGTACCTACTCAACCCACTGGGACTCACCTTGCTGGGGTCCATGCAGGGGGTGTGGCGGGCAAGGTGTGAGCAGAGCCCCTCCCCTGCAGGCAAGGCCCACGTCTCTGTGACCAGCTCAAGGCAGTTCCACCCCTCTGCGTGGGCACCCGGCCCACCCCGCTCAGAGTTCCGGAATTCTTTGAGGCACTGTTTGCCCTTGCGGAGTTGGCTTTGACTAGCAATGGGAGCTCGGAAGTTGATGTTGCCCTTAACCGTCTTGCACAGTCCATGGAATCTGTCACGTTTAGGGTTTTCTTTCCTTGATCTTTGGGTTCCTTCTTTGACTCCTTTCTTCCCTTAGCTGATTGAAGTTGTAGAATGAGGCCTGTAGCAGGCATGCTTCCGATTGATACGCACCGTTAATATCCTGCCTGAAAGTGAAGCAGGTGGCAGTCTCGTTAGGGAAGCCCCCTTGGTCATGGTGTGAAGAGTCTGTGCGAATGTTTGTGACTGCTTCTGTATAAATAGAGGACAGCCTTGGTGCATTGTCTATGATGATTATGAAATTGTAGGGGTCCGTTTCCTCATGCCTATTTCATGCACCCTTCTTTGAGCTCTGAACTCAGCTGCAGCTGGCCTCCGGCACCCTCCACCAACCCAGGCGCCCACCTCTGACCCAGCTTTGCAGGGACTCAGGCAGTGGATACTGGCCTGAGCCTCGGCCTTCCAGAAACTTCTGCAAGTCCCCAGAGTGCAGTGAAATTTTTTTTTTTCCTTTTTGGCAGGGGATGTGGGCAGTTTGCAGGAAAGCCTCTTTGGTTGGACACCAGGCAGCACCTGGCTGTCCCTGGTCCGTGTTGGCAAGGCCACACTGCCCCCACTTCCTGGCTGTCAGTTAGATCTCAAGGGGATGCAGGGGTGGGAGGTGAGCCGGGGGAGGGAAGGGGAGAAGGCCTGGAACAGGTGCCCCGGGAGGCTTTGCCCCCACTGCCCTCTGGCCCAGTTAGACAAACATTGGAATTGACGGACTCAGGGGCTTCCCAAGAATCACAGGAAAGAAACACGCAACATCCTTCCGGCTGCCTCGCGCAGGAACCCACCCACTTCCCAAAGGAAGCCCCTCCACCAGGGCTCTCCCAGCCCCCCACGGCCCAGGGCACAGCCCTCTCCTAGGAGTGATTGCCCCCTGGACATCCTGGCAAGGCACTTGGGGGGACCCCCATGTCCCCCAAATCAATCCTGGTTGCGGTGAGCCTGTGTCCCCTGCGCCCTGGCAAGTGGCCCGCCTGTCTCATGCGCCCTGGCCGTGGGGGCCCCTGGCAGGCGCTCCCTGCTGTCCTGTGCGCCCTGGCCGTGGGGGCCCCTGGCAGGCGCTCCCCGCTGTCCTGTGCGTCCTGGCCGTGGGGGCCCCTGGCAGGCGCTCCCCGCTGTCCTGTGCGCCCTGGCCGTGGGGGCCCCTGGCAGGCGCTCCCCGCTGTCCTGTGCGTCCTGGCCGTGGGGGCCCCTGGCAGGCGCTCCCCGCTGTCCTGTGCGCCCTGGCCGTGGGGGCCCCTGGCAGGCGCTCCCGCTGTCCTGTGCGCCCTGGCCGTGGGGGCCCCTGGCAGGCGCTCCCCGCTGTCCTGTGCGCCCTGGCCGTGGGGGCCCCTGGCAGGCGCTCCCCGCTGTCCTGTGCGCCCTGGCCGTGGGGGCCCCTGGCAGGCGCTCCCCGCTGTCCTGTGCGCCCTGGCCGTGGGGGCCCCTGGCAGGCGCTCCCCGCTGTCCTGTGCGCCCTGGCCGTGGGGGCCCCTGGCAGGCGCTCCCCGCTGTCCTGTGCGCCCTGGCCGTGGGGGCCCCTGGCAGGCGCTCCCCGCTGTCCTGTGCGCCCTGGCCGTGGGGGCCCCTGGCAGGTGCTCCCTGCTGTCCTGTGCGTCCTGGCACACACGTTGAGCACCTACTGGATACCCTCGCCCTGACCTACAGCTTCTCTCCCTCTTGGAGCCGCTGGTCTGCTCAGCTCCTCCCGCGTTCAACTGGAGGACCAACAGGCTTGAGGAGTGAAGTCCACTCCTTGGTGGCTTTCATGCCCTGCAGGCCACCTAGGGAACTGCAGTCTGGGTCACCCGCGGAGTCCATGCAAATGACCCTCGGTCCCCTTCTTGCTGTCTTCGGGGTGGAGGGGTAGTCGCTAGATGAACCTCTGTGGCGTTGCCATGGTACCCCTGAGCACCGTCCCCCCACCCCCGTCCCCCCAAAATAATAAGATCCCGGCTTCTGGAGTCAGATCCAGGTCTGCCCCACCCCCCAGCCAAGCGGGCAGCCTGTTCCCCCAGCGAGGGGCTGGACCCGGGGCAGTGGCCTCTGCCTCTTCAGGTGTAATCCAGCAGAGCTGCAGGGCGCAGGGCGGGCAGCAGGCATTCAGACATGAGAGCAGAGAAGCAGGGGCGGGAGCGTGGGAGGGCCTCCAGTCCCAGGCAGATGAGCCCCACCTCCCACCCCCCAAGGACAGCCAGCTGCCTGGAAGACCCAACTCCACTCTGGCCCGGGAAATCGAAACTACAGGACCAGTGCTGGCTGATGGCCACGACGGAGTGTTTCTCCTGCCAGTCAGGAACTTCCTGCAGGTTCTGATTGGTCAGAAAGTCTGTGTATGCATGTGGTGAAGGCGGCCCCCATGAGAGTCCAGCAGCCTGACCTCACCCGGTGCATCTGAGAGGTTCGTCCTGCATGGCACCCACGTTTTACCACTCGTGGCCTGAGTTCGTGGACATGAAGGAGGAGAAGGAGGCGTGCTGGGGCCGGCGGGTGCCGCTGTGGTTAGTGCTGGCCTTGCTGCTGGTGGCCATCTCTCTGGCCGTGGCTGTGGGCATCTTGGACAACAAGGCCAACAGCAAGGCCTGCCTGGAAGGGCTGAAAGCAGAGCAGCAGTGTCGCAATGCCACCAGCCTCCTGGAGCACCAGCTCAGCGGGATCCAGCACAGGCTGCTATCCTCGGAGAACCAGGCCAGCACCTGTAACCACACTGTGGTGAGCCACCCGCCATGATGTCTGGGGACAGGGGACTTGAAACTGTTCCCGCCAAGGGGAGGACTTGAACCCGCCCCTCCGCGGGCCCGGACTTTCCCCCACTGTCCCCCTGGCCAGTTTGGGGAACTTCTGTTGACTGCCCTGTTGAGTCAGCAGGTGCGGGGCTTGAAGCGCTCAAGGGTGGGGTTCGTCGGGGGGCGGGCTGGGGATCCCCAATAGGACTGGGAGGAGACACACTCCAGCTCTCGGTGCAGGGACCTTAATGCTCCACCGACACCTGTCTGGGGGGTGAGGTGGTGTGGTGATGGGGGATCCCTAGGAGGAGTTAGATGGGGAACAGGTTCTGGGTTGGGGGGGGCAGACCTAGAAACTTCCATGGCATTACTAACATGGACGGGAGGAAGCCCCACCCCCACACCCCACCCCGAGTCTGGGACGCCCTTCAGGTCTCCAGCGCGTTGCAAAAGTCCTTTTTCTTTTCAGATTTATTTAAAAGATTAGAATCACAGAGAGAGAAGGGGGGACAGAAAGATTTGCATCCACTGGTTCACTCCCCAAGGGGCAGCAACGGCCAGAGCTGAGCCGGCTGATCCAAAGCCAGGAGCCAGGAGCTTCTTTCAGGTCTCCCATGCGGGTGCAGGGTCCCCAGGCCACAAGCAGGGAGCTGGAAGGGAAGTAGGGCTGCCAGGACACAAGCCAGCGCCCATATGGGATGCAGGTGGAGGATTAGCGTGCTACGCCCTAAGGCTGGCTCCAATCTGGAAGTTTCTACCAGGATCTGGGCATAGAGAGCCTCTGGGTCCCCCACATGGAGGCAGTGGGGGCCCCGAAGCTCCTCTTTTGGGAGTTTCACATTGGTTGGTGGCCTTTCTCCTGGGCTGGACGCCGAGGGACGAGAGCTTTCATGAGGACATGGTGCGGGGTGTTGGGAATAAGTCCCAGCTCTGGCTCCTGGCCCCAGCCCTCTGGATGTGCACCCCGGAAGTGCCTGTAAGGGACCAGGGCAGGGACCGTGATGTCTGACTGTGCTCACTGCCAGGTGAAGTTGACCAAATCCTTGGAAATGGCGAAGGCCGAAACCCTGAGCCAGCAAACGCGGATACAGGAGCTTCAAAGTAAGAAACGGGGAGGGGGCACCCCAGGACTGCAGGGAGGAGGAGGCAGGGTGGGAAGGGGCTGCTGTGGGGGCAGGGCATGGCCCCCCAAAGTGTGGTCTGAGAAAAGAGGTGGCCACGTGAAGACACACACGCCCCGCTCTGTCCCCCCAACCTCCAGGAGAGACTGAGGTATGGAAGAAGAAGCTACAAGATGCTCTGATGGAGGTGGAACAACTAAGGTAGGGAACCCCCACACTAACCCCAAGATCCCTAGCCCCCAAACCCTTATCTGCCTTGGTGCCCCCTACCCTGGTGCCAGCGATGGAAGGCCTGGTCCCACAGTCAACCGTTCTGTGGGCAGAGGGGGCCTGGCTGCTGCCTTGTTTTCAGCAGGATTAGGGAGGGGTACGGAGGGGGTTGGGGTGCAGAGGGGCACCCCGCTGTCCCCCACAGCTGGCCCCCTCTCTGCTGCAGGGGACAGGCTAGCGCCCACTCGACCAGGTCCAGAGCGTCGGCCCAAGTCGTGGAGAAGTTTGCGCTGCTGGGTCTGTGCTGGGTGGCAGTGACACTGTACTTCTGAGACCCGGGGGCTGCAGGTGAGCAGGGGGTCCCCAAGGTGACAGAAGGAGGGGGCGTGGTCTGGTGGGAGGCAGGGGGATGGGAGGAGTTTGTAGGGGGCGGGGCCGTTCCGTACACCTGCTTTCTTCAAGTCCGTCTTACTTTTTTCAGCCTTAACACCTGGCCGGCTCCAACGTTGCCTGGAAGTGATGCGGCTGGAGGCGACCTCAGGGGCAGAAAGGGCACAAGCGGCAGGGAGGGAGGGTAAAGGGAGGGGGGGGTTCTGCGGAGGAGTCATGAAGTAGTCTGGGATGGGCGATGTGGGAGCCAGAGGGGACAGGATACTGCCTCCCCACCCCCACCCCAGAGCTGGAGTGAGTTCCGGGCTTGGACGGGGTAGGGGGCCGGGCACCCACTCTCTACCATCATGGTGTTTGAGGGGGTCACTTTGCTCTGGAATCTTCCAGCTTTAACAAATAAAGGCCTTACTCTCAAGTTCCCAGGCTGTTTTTTTTTCACTTTAAAAGATTTATTGGGGCCAGGGCACTGGCTCAATTGGCTAATCCTGCACCTGTAAATGCTGGCAAGCCATAAAGGACGCTGGTTCATGTCCCAGCAACCCCACTTCCCATCCAGTGCCCTGCTTGTGGCCTAGGACAGCCCACAGCCTTGGGACCCTGCACCCGCGTGGGAGACCCGGAAGAAGCTCTTGGCTCCTGGCTTCAGATTGGCTCAGCTCTGGCTGTTGTGGCCACTTGGGGAGTGAACCAGTGGATGGAAGATCTTTCTGTTTCTCCTTCTCTCTGTAAATCTGCATTAGCAGGGAGCTGGATTGGAAGTGGAGCAGCTGGGACTCAAACCCGGGCCCATACAGGATGCCAGTGTGGCAGATGGAGTCTTAGCCCCTCTGAGGGTCTTTGTGTGGCCCTGGCCCCTTGGGGCTCCCCTGTGCACCCAGGATGGACCACTCTGCACTGTTCCTAGCCATGTAGGCTCCTCCCCACCCCTAGCCCCTTGGAGAGTCCCTCCTTCTGGCACCTCCCCCGCCAGGATCCCCTAGAAAGCTGAGGCCGGGGTGCAGGTGGGGGGCCCAGTAGCCTGGTATCCTGTGAGGTTTTGTCTCCTGCAGTCCAGCTGAGTTAGGGCTCAGCTCAAACCCGGGACCTGCAGACACACGCCAGCCGGCCTGACCCTCACAGTCCGTCCTTGTTCCCCTGCGCCACCCACGCCCAGGAGCCCCTTCTCCAGCGGCACCCCCTCCCTGCGCACTTTCCCCCACTGGAATGTCCTCCTCCCCTGCTATCTCTCCTCCCAGGCTTGTTGGAATCCAACTATTATTGTCCAGTTTCCTGACCCCGGAGCTAGTGCAAACACAGGGGACCTGGGGCCCATAAAATGAGGGAAGCGATAAGACCCCTCCTTCCACAGGGGGCTGCACATGTGAGCCCTTCCTGCCACGGCCTGCTCCCTCCTCACCCACCCCCGCTCAGCCCTCCGCACACCCACCTCGCTGCCCAAGGCCTTTTGTCCACGCTCAGCCCACCTGCCACCACGAGCAGCGTTCCTCCAGTGCAGCCCCCGCCCTTGGGCTCAGGGTGGGAACCCCCGTGCGCCTCGGAATATTGGAATATCAAGCACACAGACGTTGCGTTGTGACCACGCACCAACCAGTGCCTGGGGACGTCTCTGCGAGTCTTGGAGCTGTTGAGGATGTCCCCTCCTCAGGGCAGGCTTGCCTCGGTCCCCCTGGCTTCTTGGAGTGCCCATCTGGCTGGAAACGGATGTTGGTCATCTTCAGCTCTGCCTAGACCAAGGTCAAGGGTCCTCCAGGCACCTACACTGCCCCTGGAGGCGGGCACACCATGGCCCCGTTCCACTGCCAGGCAAGCTCCCAGTATCCAGTTAAGAGAGAGACCTCTGGTGGCTGGAAGTGGCACCCCTCCACACTCAGCCACCTGAAGCCCCTCCACACACACACACACCCACCCACAACCCCCGACCCTCCAACTATAAACCTCTTGCTGAGGCAGAGCTGCCCAGTGGGTGACCCTGACCTGCAAACTCCCTTGTGGAAGCCCCAGGATAAACTCGTCCCCGCATTCTCCTCTTCCCTCCTTCCAAGGGTCCTTTCAGTGGACTTGGATGCAAAGATGTGTCCCACCCAGGGTTTGGGGGCTCAGTTGTTCTCCAGAGGGCCAGGCCAGCTCTGCGTCCACCCAGCCCCCTCTCTGCCACACCTCAGGGATCAAACCTTGACTGTGTGAGGCAGCAGGTGAACACCCTCCTGGCAAACCATCATCCTATTCAGGAGAGAGCACCCAGTTCAAGTCCCGGCTGCCCCGCTTCCCATCCAGCTCCCTGCCTGTGGCCTGGGAAAGCAGTGGAGGACGGCCCAGAGCCTGGGGACCCTGCACCCGCGTGGGAGACCCGGAAGAGGCCTCTGAAGGAATGAGCCAGCAGGTAGAAAATCTTTCATTTCCCTTTCTCTGTAACTCTCTTTCCAATACATAAAAATGTTTTTAGAAATATTATTTTATTTATTTTAGAGAGAGAGAGCAGAGAAAGCTGTCCCATCTGCTAGTTCATTCCCCAAATGTCCACAACTGACATGGTTGGACCAAACGCAGCCAGAAGCTCCATCCGGGTCTCCCATGCGGGTGCAGGGTCCCAAAACTTAGGCCGTCCTCTGCTGCTTTCCCAGGTGTATAAGCAGGGAGCCGGATCCGAAGAGGAGCAGCCAGGACATGAACCGGTGCCCATATGGGATGCTGGTGCTTGAAGGTGGAGGATGAGCCTGTTGAGCCATGGCTAGCCCTCCTTACTGCCTTTGCCACCGTTCAATTGCCCAAGAGAACGCAGTATCACTCACCCATCAGGGTGTTGGGGGTCTTCTCCCACTGGAGTTCCAGTTGCCCAAGACCCAGAGTTAACTATTACACCTGCCGGCAACCGCCAGGACAATAGGCTTGGGTGTGCTAGCCGCGATCCAGCCGGGCGAGACGCACTGCATGCCAGCTGCCTGAACTGGTTTTCGCCTTCCTGGAAAGCCATGTCGCAAGGTCATTGTCTTAGTGGGGTCTAGACAGCCCGGCCCCTGTGGCTTTGGGTGGAAGTGTAGGGCAGTGGCCGAAAAGCACAACCGTAAGTCATTCGTCTGGACGTTTCACATCGTTGCTGCCAAGCCCGCGGATAGCTCTGATGCCTTCGCCTAGTGCCGCACGGTCCCCCAGCACCCACAGTCCCTAATCCTTAACCTGGCTTACAGGGAGCAGATCACCACACACCGGACGCTGGGGTCGCTCTTGGCTCCCGCGTCTCGCTGTGCGACAGTCGTAGTTTTGTTGTGAGCTGGTGCGTGCAGCCGGTGGGCAGTACAGACCAATCAGGGGTCTGCTGACCGTGCCCCTCCCAGCTTCCCCCTGTGAAGGACATTCACCAGGGCAAGACCACAGCTGACAGGCACAATGAGATCCCATGGGGGCACTGGTTCAAGTCCCGGCTGCTCCACTTCCCATCCAGCTCCCTGCCTGTGGCCTGGGAAAGCAGTGGAGGACGGCCCACAGCCTTAGGACCCTGCACCTGCGTGGGAGACCCGGAGGAGGCTCCGGGCTCCTGGCTTGGGATCAGCTCAGCTCCGGCCGTTGCGGCTGCTTGGGGAGTGAATCATCGGATGGAGGGTCTTTCTTGCTGTCTCTCCTGTTTGTGTATCTAACATATATACATAGAAAGGAATGCAATTCAACTCACAGCGACCTCTCACAGGAATCTCCACAGGCCGGAAGAGAATGAGTGACATATTCCAGATTCCAAAAGCAAAACATTGTCGGTCCAGGATAACGTCCCCAGGAAACTCTCCTTTGTCTTTGAAAAAGAAATAGAATTCTTCTACAGCAAAGGAAAGTTTCAAAGAATATGCCTCTTCCAAACCTGCCCTCCCAATGATCCTTAAAGATGCTCTCTTGCCGGAGAAGCGGAATAGCACCAGCGAGGCAAATGTGAAGAGCATCCCAGTATAATAACAAGAAGATTAAATCAATGAAGCATGCATTGCTGGAATGGCGGGACAAATTACCACCCGATCGTATTAACCCTGAATGTAAATGACTTCAACTAATCAAACACAATAGATTAGTAGACTGGATTTTAAAAAAAACAAGGCATTTATTTTTTGCTTACAGGAGACACATCTCACCAACAAAGATCAGCGGAAACTGCATCTGGAGGGTTTTGATTTTTTTTGTTGTTAGTTTCATCTCTTTAAAACACTTTCTCATTAAAATTCTTCACTGACTCACAGATCACACAGTAGCATCATTTTCTTCAAGAAGGTTCTTGATTTTCATTTCTTCAGCGACACGTTAGTCACTCAGTAGCATGTTATTTAACTTCACGGCATTGTAAATCTCTATTTTTCTTTCTGTTGTTGATTTATCATTTAAGGGGATGTGTAGTAACTGTGTCATGGAGACTCATATCCAGATGTGAGGGTACAATGCAGAGTGCAGCTCTACTTCCAGACAGAGATGGACTTACAATGAAACTGCTTACTATATCTTGACAACAGGATGCTGGACCCTCTGCCATTGTCCATGCCCACAGTGATGGACATATGACTGTGTATAAAGAACTATAGTATAGTAACAATATAGTGGACCTCAGTGGTGGGGGGGAGGGGGTTGGGGAGGGGGGAGGGGAAATCTAGGGTCTATGGAACTATATGATAAATTGATAATAATACTATGTAAAATTTTACAGAGAACAGCGCACGGGTAGGAAGTATTAAGGAAGGGGTGGCTGGAGAGTGGAGACTTCGGAAACAATGGGGTGAGGAGGGAGGGGTGGGATCTGAATTTGCCCAGTGTCCAAAGCGGGTGTGGAGCGGCTCGCTAAGCCCTTCGCGTGGTGTGGTCGCCCTCTGGTGGCCCCGGGGACAAACGGACCAGGATGCGCGGGCTTGTCCTACCGCCCCTTGGCTGGCTGAGTGGCCACGGTCTCCGCGTCCACTAAATGGGTCCAATCAAACCCAGCTCCTCCGCGGCTGCAGCGACGCCTCCCACCCAGCCCTGAGGCCACCGCTGTCCCCTACACAGAATGGGGAAACTGAGGCAGGCAGGGCTAGAACCCAGGACCCACACATCCTGCTCCCTCCCCAGTGCCCCTGGAGCGGACCCAACCCCCCTAAACACCACACGCACACACACACACACCCTCTTCTCCACCAGCCACAGCCCCAAGGGGCGGGACCGTGGGTGTCCCTGGAGTCCCCAAGGTGCCAATTAAAGGCTGGTGGCCCGTCTGGGGGCCCAGAGCTGCGGGCGGACGGCGGGCCATGGCCGAGCCGGGGCCGGAGCCCGGGCGCGCGTGGCGGCTGCTCGCCCTGTGCGGGGCGGCCGTGTTCCTGGCGGCGGCCGCGGCCGGGGGAGCGCTGGTGGCCTGGAACCTGGCCGCCTCGGCCGCCCGGGGGGCTCCTTGCCCCGAAGCAGAGGTGCACAACGCCACGGTACCACCGCCAACTCCACCCAGGGTGCCCGAGGCCGAGGTGCGGGAGCTGCAGCGCAGGCTGGCCGAGGCGGCCGAGCGCGCAGAGAGCCTGAGCGCACAGCTGGTGCGCGCGGAGCGCGGCCGTCGGGGGCTGCAGCAGGCGCTGAAGACCTGCGAGAACCAGCAGGTAGGGGGCCACGGCGGGGGTCGGGGGGGAACAGGCGTGGCACTTGCCCATGTCGCAGGATTCCCAGCTCTCCAACTGAGAGCCGCCAGCAGCATCCTGACTCTCATCCCGTGCTAGGCCAGTTCACCTTGCAGTCTGCCTCCTGATCAGAGGGGGTCCCTGAGGGGGGGAGAAGCTACCCACCACATCAACCCGGGGGAGCCCCAAGGCTAACCTGGACCCTGTGCCCGCTCCGGCCCCTCCCCCAGCCGCCCACGCCCCGGCCAGCAGCCCTGTGCGGACAAGGGACAGTCCTGTCACCTGTAATTAGAAAGCTAAAGTTGGCCTGGGGAGACAGGCAGCGAGCGGAGGGAGGTGCCAGCGAGGCCTGCCCTCTTCCTCCGGATTCTCTTAACCTCTTCCAGTCCCCAACCTCAAAGAGCAGCCACCCTCAGATCCCAACCACCTGCATGTGCTGAGTGACTGCTGTATACTTCTCCCTGCCCAGGGGAGCTTTTTTCTGAAAAACATTCTGTTGGGAAACGGCTGTTTCTTTCATTTGGAAGGGAGAGAGAGAGAGAGAACTACTCAAATGCAGCTCCCCGAAGGCCATCACACCCAGGCCCAGGCCCCAGGAGCTCCATCCAGGTCTCCCGTGTGCGTGGAGGGCTTTTCCCAGGAGCATGAGCTAGGAGTGGGATGGGAAGTGGGGCGACCAGGACTTGAACCGGGCACCCTGCTGTGAGGATAGCGCTGGCATCCTGAGCTGCACCACAGCAGCTGCCCAGGGACTCCTGTGACCTTCGATGGGCCTGGGACAAGCCGGGTGACAGGCACCCGCTCTGGGTTCAAGCTCTGCCTCTTCCCCTTGAGGCCCTGCCACATTCTGAGAGAGTCGGACCTGCTTTCTCATAGAATCCTAGGCAGAGCTCAGCCCCACCCACCCCAGAAACCCAGGTGGCTCCTGTGGGTTTGAACCCCCTGGGGTGAGGGATTTTGCACCTGCTAGTGCTGGCTTGAAGTGGTGCTGGGAGTGTCGAATAGTCGGTCCAGGGCAAGAGACCTCCTCCTGCAGGTGTGGGGATCAAAGCCTCCAGTCCCCCAAAGGCTGGTGGAAAGCTGGCACGAGCTTCGGAGCACTCAAGGCCGAATTTGCCCACCCCGCAGGGCGGGATCCATTCACACCGTCCTTTGGCCTCCTTCACTGCAGGACCGGCTCCAGACCCAACTCACCACCCTCAAGCTGGAGATGGATGAGGCTAAGGCGCAAGGCACCCAGATGGGGGTCGAGAACGGAGCGCTGGCAGGTGTGTTGTTGCAGTGGGTAGGGAGGGAGGAGGCAAGACGGTGGCTAGATATGCAAATAGCACAGGTGCACCTGCCGAGGAAGCCAGGTACATCCTCGCGCGGCTTGGACGCAGGCATGCATTGAAACAAGCTAACAGTCCATGGGGGTAGGTGAACTTGGGGTCTCCTTCCCGACCTCACTCCCACCCCACGCCTGCGCCCACAGAAGCCCTGGCGCGCTGGGAGGCGGCGGCCACTGAGTCCGCTCGGCTGCTGGAGGAGGCGCAGCGGCAAGTGGGCAGCGCTGTGGCCCAGAGCGAAGCCTGCGCGGCCCGGGAGGTGACGCTGCGGGAACGCGTGTGAGTGAGGGGCGCACCCGGCGGGGTGAGCCAAGGGGCAGAGGTACTGGGAGGTGGGGTGACCTGGAGGGTGAGGACTGAGGCGGGGCCGCGTGGGCTGCACGCCTGCGTCCCTGGGGTTGGACGCAGGTGCGAATTCCCAGGAAGGGTGGGGAGCTGGAGTGAAGGCTATGCAGGGGAGGATGGGTGGGGGTTTCTAGAAGAAGGGGTCCTGGGAATGGCTATGGCTGAAGCTGGGGCACTCCAAGGAGTGGGAGGCCCTGGGCATGAGAGGACGCTCAGACGTGAGGAACCTTCGGGAATGGAAGCCTTAGAAGGGCGCCCAGGTGCCACGGGGGGCCTGGAGTCGCACGTGCTGACCGCGTCCCCTCTCCTTTTCCTCCCTGCCCCGCCCCCAGCCACTTCCTGGAGGTCCAGCTCGGTGGTCCCCAGCGCAAAGGCCCGCGCCCCGGAACGCGCTCCAGCACCCGGGTCCGTCCCGGCTCACGCCCTCGCTCTAGGACTCGACCCTGCCGACGCCCCTTGCACCTGGTCAGCGCCAGTGAGCCCCCCGCAGCATGGTAGCTTGGGGACGCGCGGCGGGAACCGCCCAGGACGCACGGATCCTGAACGGGAGCTGCGCAGGAAGACGCCTGGGCGTGATCGGCTCTCCATCCACTCACCCTCAAACACACACACACACACACACACACACACACACACGGACTGCGGACTCGGGAGGGGTCAGGGGCCTCTTCGAGCCTCAGTTTACCCGGTCTATACAGTGGGTGCCTGGGATGCTGTTTTGGAAGAATTGGTGTTTTCTTAACAGCAGACAGGGAGGAAGACGAGGCCAGAGGGAAACTTGAGACTCAGGGAGTTCGGGGTGCAGGGCGGATGTTCACAAAAAGAACCCCAAGAGATACGTCTGTAATCCAGCCCGACCAGGAGGGCTCCGTCCCCGGTGCTGGGGTTATTTCCAAGGCGGTGAATGTCGTGCTCCCATCCTGAGGGATGCAAGGAAACAACGCGTGCGCTCCTTGAACAGCAGCCAGCCCAGCAGAGTCCCCGCGAGGCAGTTAAGATGTCTGAGGAGCAGCAGCCCGCACGGTGCGGCAAGGAAAAGATGTTAAGAGGCACGGATAGAATGCGGGCGAGCGCCTCAAGCGGACGCAAGTGCACGTCCCTGACATATCAGCCTTTCTTAGTGTTCAGTACGCGTTATTTTCAGTTGCCTGTTTTTTTTTTTTTTAACGTGTTTACCTTTCCGGGCAGTTGTAACACTGGGTAAAGCCAGCACCTATGGCTTAGCATCCCACGTGGACACCGGTTCGAGTCCAGGTGGCTCCACTTCCCATCCAGCTCGCTGCTCATGTACCTGGGCAAGCAGCTGAGGACAGCCCGGGGGCCTGGGTCCCTGCCCGCTGTGTGGGAGACCCGGAGAAGCTCCTGGCCCAGCCTTGGCCATCGCACCGATCTGGGGAGAGGACCCAGTGGGTGGAGGACCTCTCTCTGCCTCTCCTTGTCTCTGAACTGCCTTCCAGTAATAAACTTTTTAAAATGTTACCGTTCCAGCCTGAGCTCGGGTGTTGTCTGGCATGACTTCAGCCTTGCCAGAAAGTAGGAAAAAAAACCACCTGTGGCGGGGAGCCCAGCCGTATGGCATCCACAGGCCTCCACATGCAGCACCAGAACCCCTGTGGGCCTGGGTTCAAGTCCCGGCTGCCCCACTTCCCATCCAGCTCCCTGCCTGTGGCCTGGGAAAGCAGTGGAGGATGGCCCAAAGCCTTGGGACCCTGCACCCGCGTGGGAAACCCGGAAGAGGCTCCTGGCTCCTGGCTTTGGATCAGCTCAGGTCTCCCACGCAGGTACAGGGTCCCAATGTGTTGGGCTGTCTTCAACCACTTTCTCAGGCCACAAGCAGGGAGCTGGAAGGGAAGCAGGGCTGCCAGGATTAGAACCACTGCCCATATGGGATCCCGGCATGTTCAAGGTGAGGACTTCAGCTACTAGGCTACTGCACCGGGTCCTCTCTGCTTTTTTTTTTTTTCTTGTCCCTCCTGTGTCCACAGTGGAGAAGGAACAGAGGGCCTCTCTTTGCTGTCAAACTACATCAGCACCGGGGATGGGGGACAGACCCCGATGTGGGGAGGAGGGGCCGAGGGGGCTGCTGGAGTGGTTTTGATAATTCTGAAAAGTCAGCTTCATTGCACTGGGGTTGAGAGAAAAAAATCTTTTCCAAGGTCTGCTGGCTGACCGGGTCCACCTTAGCGCGTCCCCAGGCCCAGGGGCAAAGCCTGGCTGACCGGGTCCGCCTTAGCGCGTCCCCAGGCCCAGGGGCGTGCTGCAAAGGCTGGCCAGGAGAGTGGCCCAGCCTGTCCTGCTCTCCCTCCTCTGACGAGGTGGTCAGCGTCCCCTGCTGGCCTGGATGCGCTGCCTGCCACCTCTCCATTTTCACACGTCTTGCGTCCCACCTGGAACACTCATGGGTGCTGCGGTTTGGCTCAGCCCAACCTGCCCCCAGACCTGTATCACACGTGTGTCAGTGGGTGCTGCTGCCTGGTCCAGCCTGCCCTGCCCCAGGCCTGGCTCTCTGGCTCACCAGCAGGAGTGCCCGTCCCAGACCCACTCCCAGCTCCGGGTATTCCACGCTGGCAGGTGCTGCAGCCTGGTCAGTCCAGCCTGTTCCCAGCCAGGTATAGCAGCCTTGCCCAGCCTAGCCCACTCTGAGCTCCAGCCCTCATGTGAACTGCTGGGTGCTGTGGCCCAACCTGATCTGGCCTGGCCTGCTTCTTACTTATGCCAATGTTTGCTGTGGACTAGCCCAGTCTGGCCCACCCCCAGACCCAGCCCACATATACGCTCACAGATGCTGCAGTCTGGCCTGGCCTTCCCCCTGGCCCAGCTCTCCCACTCACCGGTGGGAGTTGTGGTCTAGCAGGGGAGTCCGCAGATCTCAGGCATGTCGGTGGGTGCCGTGACCCCGCTTGGCGTTCTCTGCCCTTAGTCCTGGCCTTTGCATGTGCTGGCAGGCACCGCAGCCCAGCCTGACACGGCCCAACCCCTGCTCCAAGATTTCACAGGCAGGCACTGAGGCCGAGCCCCCTGGTCCAACTTTCAGATGTGCCCATGGGCAGTGGGCAACAGTTGATGCTGCTCAGCTTAGCCCAGGTCTCCCACGTGGGTGGGTACCTTGGCCTGGCCCAGACCTTTGGTTGCCCGCTCTAAATCCATCTCAGCTCCCCCTCCATCTCAGCTCCCTTGCCTAGGAAGCTGACTGCACAGCCAAGCTGCCACGCTGACAGAGCTCGCACAAACTGGGCCTTCACCAGGCCCAGCACGGCCACCAGCTACCGGCTGCTCCCCCCCCCCCAGTGCGACACTTGCCCGGGTCCGAGGTAACCTAGATACGTGCCTACCACTGGCTCAGACATCTTAAGGGCTCACTTAAGCTCATCTTTTGCACGCTTTCCTCAGCTTGAAGGAACGACGGGTCCGCCCCCATAAATCTCCCCAAAGCTGCAAACAAGACGCCTGTGACATCATCAGGCCTTGAAACTTCAGGAAACGCGTGTGGATCCAGCGGATCCAGCCGGCGGCTATCTTATCTGCAGACCTTAACGTGACTTCCGCCATGGCCGGACGATGTCTCTCACGCAGCTGCCGAGGACGTGGGTCCCACGTGGCTGGAGCCTCGGGCCGGATGAGGCCCCTTCACCTGCTCCGGCCTGGAACATTCCATTGTTCCCTTGAGGCAGTGCGTCTCTCACGCTCAGCCGCTCACCGCTCTGTCTCGTAGTGGGTCATTTCTCCTCCCTCCAGGTTGGCGGCTGGGGCGGGGCTGGGAAGGCCGGATCCATCCCCGCTGCTCCTGTACCGAGAGAAATCCCACAAATCACCAAAATGATATTGGCAAAGAACTAATTTGACCCTATGGGATTGTACCATAAAATTCAAAAATTAAAACGAAAAAAAGAACTCAAGAAACAGCTGAAAAGAAAATGCCCCCCGCCTTTTTTTAGTTGTAAAATGTGGCATTTTAACCCCTCTTAAGTGCACAATTCAACAACACCAAGTCCGTTTATCATCATGCAAAATCACCAACTGTATGTATTTCCAGAGCTTTCCTTAAAAAAAAAAAAAAAAAAGATTTATTTATTTTAACCAGAAAAGCAGATTCACAGAGAGAAGGAGAGACAGAAAGCTCTTCCATCCGCTGGTTCACGCTCCAAGTGGCCACGATGGCCGGAGCCGAGCAACTGTACTTGCAAGTAAGCGAGGGGGCTGGGACGGACGGCGCGGAGGCTGGAGGCTGGAGGCTGGAGGCCCTTTACGGGTCAGCGCACTGCACCAGCCCACATGGGAGCCCTGAGCCGGGCTAGCTAGCATCAACCACGGCTGACCACCGCTCGCAGGTCCACACTAAAGCTAGGGCTAGAGGCCTGCCTGGCAGGGCTAGATCACAGAACCCAGCAGGGAGTAGGCTAGGCCATGACACCGAGCAGCACGCGAGAGAACCGGGTCTGGAGGCAGGGACTATGGGGGATACTGGCCCACTCCTGTGGAATTCCATACCAGCTGGTTTGCTTAAGAGCTGAGGTGGTGGACCCGGCAACGTGGCCTAGTGGCCAAAGTCCTTGCCTTGAACGCACCAGGATCCCATATGGGTGCTGGTTCTAATCCCTGCAGGTCTACTTCCCATCCAGCTCCCTTCCTGTGGCCTGGGGAAGTAGTGGAGAACAGCCCAAAGCCTTGGGACCCTGCACCCGCGTGGGAGACCTGGAGGAAGTTCCTGGCTCCTGGCTTCGGATCAGCTCAGCATCGACCACGGTGGTCACTTGGGGAGTGAATCAGTGGACGGAAGATCTTCCTCTCTCTATCCTCCTCTCTATATATCTGACTTTGTAATAAAAACAAATAAATCTTAAAAGAAAAAGAAAAGAGCTGAGGTAGTGATGGACTGAGCCAGGCATACCCATGGAACCCTCCAGCACTGGGTACTGGGGTTGGGTAGCGAACCAGACT